CATGCAACAGACAAGATAGTCAAAGAAAATGGGGGAAGCACAGTTGAACAAATTCTTACTACAAATTGCTACCGTAATTAAATTCAACTTCGAAAAGTAATACATAGATAACAGCTTTTAAAATATGTACACATTTTTGCCACCCCTATATATATACAAAAAATAAAATTATGTATATATATGTAATTGTTACTTTTTTGGGTCAGGGCCTCACTTTGTCACCCAGGCTGTAGGGCAGTCTTGACCTTCTGACCTCAGGTGATCCTTCTGCCTCAGCCTCTTGAGTGGCTGGGACTACAGGTGTACACAACCATGCCCAGCTAATTTTTTTATTTTTGTAGAGATGAAGTCTCGCTATGTTGCTTAGGCTGTTCTTGAACTCCTGGACTCAAGTAGTCCCTCTTGCCTTGGCCTCCCAAAGTGCTTAGGATTACAGGCATGAGCCACTGTACTCAGCCCTCAGTAAGTATTTTTTTTTTTTGAGTTGGAGTCTCACTCTGTCGCCCAGACTGGAGTGCAGTGGCCGCTCCTGGCCACCGCAGCCTCAACCTGCTGGGCTCTGGCAATCCTTCTGCCTCATCCTTCCGAGTAGCCGGAATTACAGGCATGCGCTACCACGCCCGGATGATTTTTTGATTTATTGTAGAGAGGAGGTCTCGCTGCCCAGGCGGGTCTTGAACCCGCGGGCTCAGGCAATCCGCTCACCTCAGCCTCCCAAAGGCGCGGGATTACAGGCTGAGCCACCGAGCCTGGCATCAGTAAGTATTTTAAAGAGATTTATTCTGAGTAACTATGAGATACCAGGGTTCAGAGTAAACACAAACCCAAGAAGCCTTGAGTAAGTGATCCTGAGGTGGTCAGGTAATAGTTTGGTTTTATATACTTTAAGGGGACAGCAGCCGGGTGTCGTGGCTCACTCTTGTAATCCCAGCACTTTTGGAGGTAGAGACCAGAGGATTGCCTGAGCTCAGGGGTTCTAGACCAGCCTGAGCAACATGGCGAGACCTCCTCTCTACAATAAATCATAAAATTAGCCAGTGATGGTGGTGCACGCTTGTGGTTCCAGCCATTTGGAAGGCTGAGGGGAAAGGTTTGCCTGAGCGTAGTAGGTTGAGGCTATGGTGACCATGAGTGTGCCACTGCACTTTAGCCTGGATGACAAAGCGAGACTCCAACTCAAAAAAAATCGGGGGGGTGGGGTGCAGCAATTGCAGGTACAATTATATATCAATACATGGGAGGTATACATTGGTTCAGCCTCAAAAGGTCAGTTTTGCCTAAACTCAGAAAGAGACAGGGTATAATGAGGTGCATTGGACCTTTCTATTGGGGCCAAGAACTCAGCTTTTCAGGTTTCTGTAGGGTCCCCTTGGCCAAGAAGGGGTTCATTTAGCCAGCTGAGGTGTTTAGGATTTTATTTTTAGTTTACAAATGACATGGAATAATTCCTACCTCAGTCTGCCTATCATGTTTTAAAATCTGATTGGGCTCTCTTTCCCAGTAGTCTTTCGATGGCTGTCCATCACTTATAAGATAGAATTCAACACCTTTATCGTATTATACTTGGTCCATGTTATCTTTTGCCGTGAGCCACATCAGATTCCTAATTTCCCAGGCACTGTTCTTTCTCATACCTGTGCACCTGTATACATGTGTTGCCCTGTTCTTTCTCATTTCTCCCATGGATAATTTCTTTTTCTTTTCTTTTTATTTATTTATTTTTTTGAGTTGGAGGCTCACTGTGTTGCCCAGGCTGGAGTGCAGTGGCATACCCACAGCCACCGCAGCCTCGACCTGCTGGACTCAGGCCATCCTTCTGCCTCAGCCTTCCAAGTAGCTGGAACTATAGACACGGGCTACCATGCCTGGCTAATTTTTCATTTATTGTAGAGATGAGGTCTCGCCAAGTTGCCCAGGCTGGCCTTGAACTCCTGGGCTCAGGCAATCCTCTTGCCTCAGCCTCCCGAAGTGCTGGGATTACAGACTTGAGCCACTGCACTCAGACTCCTCTTTAAATATTTTACAGTTTGGTTTTTTGGTTAACAAGGGAAATCTGCAAATGCTACTATTATAAGTCTTATGGCAGTTCATTCTAACTTTACCCTGCAAACCAGGTGAAAATCTATCTAGTGTTGAGTCATGTGCAAACAGAGAAACTGTCAGAAACACAACGCAAATATCCAGGCTGGAATGGCTTGGCCTACGTCATGTGCCTACCCCTCCGCTAACAGAGGGTGGCACACTTTCCATTGGTTACTATCAGACAGTGCAAACCTCTGTTCATCCTTTTTTTCTTCAGGATTTTCAAAGCTATTGTTGAATGTTTATTCTTGCTGATGCATTTTGGAATTAAAGTTCAGTTAAAAATAATTTCTAAAATAGTTGTGTATGTAGATAGATATGGTAACCTTGACTAGGATTATATTAAACGTATTAAACTTGGAGATAATTCACATCTTTATTGTATTCAGTCTTTCCAACTTGACCGCAATATGTTTCTCCATTTACTCACGTTTTCTTTCTTATCTCTTGATAAAGGTTACTAATCCCGCATATTTCCTTCTAAGCTTATTATTTAAGGGGATTGTTCACTTAGGAGCACCACTGTTCTTTGTGTATTATCCAATATGTTAAATCTTAAAGGATGAAGTAGAAATTATCCAAGGGCTGCTGGGCACGGTGAGGGGCTTACAGATCATAGTTAGATTCAGGGATTTTCTGATTGGCAGTTGGCTGAGAGAGTTAAGCTTTATCTAAAGACTTGAAGAAATGTTGGAATTAAGACAAGGGGGTTAGTGGAGGCCAAGGCCCTTGTTATGTAAAACCTTCGGGTAGCAGCCTTCAAAGAGAATGAATGGTAAACATCTCTTTACAGACCTTAAAGATGTCAGTCTTCTAGACTTGGGAAAGACCTGGAAATAGAAGGCTTGGCTGCATTAATGGAGATTCTCTAAGACACAAATTTCCCCCATAAGAGATGGTTTTACAGGGCCATATCAAAATATGTCAGATATATTTTGGGGTAAAATATTTTGATTTCCTTCAGGGATTGCTGTCATGTGGTGCTGTATCAGAGTCAGTTGGAATTTGATATCTTATAACCTATTTATTTCCCCTCCCTCCCTTTTTCTTTTTTATTGATTGAGGTCTCACTCTGTCATCCAGGCTGGAGTTCAGTGGCACGATCATGGCTCTTAAACTCCTGGGCACAAGGGATCCTCCTGCCTCAGGCTTCTGAGTAACTGGGACTATAGGCACATGCCACCACTCCTGGCACATTTTAAATTTTTTTTTTTTTTTTGGTGGAGACTAGGTATTGCCATGTTGCCCAGGCTGGTCTCAAATTCCTGAGCTAAAGCAATCCTTTTGCCTTGGCCTCCCAAAGTGCTAGGAGTACAGGTGTGAGCCATTACGCCTGACCTAGAACCTCTGTTTCAGTGTTACTGCTGATCAGTTGCACCTAAACTCCAAAAGGGAGGGAGTATAATTGAGGTGTATCTGACCTCTCTTCCTATCATTGCTGGGAATTCTGCTTTTCAGGTTTTTCTGGGGCTCTCTTGGTCAAAGGGGGGTTAATTCAGTTGGTAGAGAGGCTTAGGATTTTATTTTTGACTTATACCCTTTGGGGTGCATTTTATTTATTTTTTATTTGCTGTAGAGACAGGATCTCACTGTTTTCCAAGCTGGTCTACAGCTCGAGGCCTCAAGTTATCTTCCCACTGTGGTCTCCTAAAGTGTGGAGATTACAGGCATGAGCCACCACCCCTGGCCCAGGGGTCCATTTAAACTATATTCCTGGGGATCAGCTGCATCAGTATCACCTGAAAGCTTGCCAGAGTGGCAAGTGTCAGGCCCTACCTCAGACTTGCTGAACCAGAAGCTCTGGATAGGGTCCTGCAGTCTTTTTTATAGACCCTTGGTGCATGCTTAAGTTTGCAAACCTCTTTCTTTCAGAAAGAGTTTGCGTTCTCCAAGATAGCTGAAACAGACACGTCAGGCTCCCATTTCACACCATTCCTTGTAGAGGCAGCAATGAAAGGAGAAAGCCGTGTCACATATTGGCTCTACATTGAAATTCCACATGGCACACTTCCAGTCGCAGGTGTTACGTTTCAATCCAGCCATTCCTCACATAGGCAACTCCAGGGTGAGTAGCAGCTGGAATTTATTTAATTGACCATGGTTAATGAGGCTTCCCAATAACTCAGCTAGAAAGGTCAGCTAGTAAATAAATTAAATATTTCCTGCTGTATCATCTGTCAGTTGACGTGAGCTTGTGATTGTCAAGAGATCTAACTGTTGGACCGAATACAAATTTAGGAAGGTAAAGCTGCCAGGGAAAGCCTGCATCATAAGTGGTTTTTAAATCATCCTTGGTTTTGTATCATCTGAGCCACTCAATGCATCATTAACTCTGGTGCTGTAGAGTTCACTGTAGTTAGTTTCCCATCCCTTTTATCTTCATCAGAAGCAAACACTCATTCCCTCTAACACCCTTTTATGATGGTAGTCTTCCCTCCAATATGAGTGGTCTCTGGTTTTAAATTTTGTCTTTAAGAAAAACACTTTCTTCTGCAGAGAGTGATGGACAAAAACCTGTGACAGATTTAGGGGTAGGTAGAGGCAGGCTGTGTTTTTTTGCCAAGATATTCTGTAGGAGGGACTAAGCTGAGTGTAGGCTGAGACTTGCATGCCTCTCTGGTGCAAAATTGAAGGGGCCTCAAAAACTCATAAATCGTAACATAATATTTTAATGATCAAAATTAATTTCTAAAAAGCCACAAGGAGCAAAGTATTAATGTGAAAAATAAAGATGGGATCAGAACAGTGCTGGGTTGAGCCTCCTGGAGCCTCATAAGGCCAAAGGAAGCGTCAGGAATGCAAATCCTGTCTCCAGACTCATAGGTGAATGAAGCAGAAAACTAGGACCACATTCACCCAGTTCATAGTATGAAATGGTATTGGTGCGTATAGTACTAATATTCCTTTGTACATTTTAGAGAAATGCTAACATCTCCATCATGCTGGCAATATGCTGTCCTGCTTAACCGATTCAGTTACTCCTCCGACCTGGAAGAGGATTTGCACACGAAGGGCTATCGCACCCTCTTCCAAGGATCTTACTCTCCCACGCCCATGAAGTGTTACCGTAGCAGAACTCCGGGCCGAATGCCTGCACAGAGACACCAGAGTGGAAGTCTGAAAAAATACTATCTCCTCAATGCTGCTTCTCTTCTCCCAGTCCTGGCTCTGGAAGTAAAGGATGGGGAGAAGGTTCTGGACCTGTGTGCTGCTCCTGGAGGCAAATCGGTGGCTCTGCTGCAGTGTGCTCTTCCAGGTAGAGTGCTTTTCTTTCAGTATGTGACAATGTGTTGATATCTATTTGTTACAGAGTTCTTTGAAAGCCTATGGGGGAAAACATAAGATTGAGTTTGCAAACTTAGGAAGCCTGAAGACCAGGACGTTATGGAGAAAAATAGAAATCTTAGCTGAGGAAATCGGTATCAATAACATCTTTCTACAGCTATTTAATCCTAGCAGGTGATTGGGAAGAAAACTAAAACATTTGGTGAATACAGATTTGCCAGATAATATAAATGCTGATACACCAATGGTGGGTATTCTTTAATGTTTCCATTTATACTTGAAAGTTTTGTATTGACATCCCTGATATACTTCTTTGCAACAAAAACATACATTTAAGATTTTTTTTTTTTGTATCATTAGACTATAAGTTTCTAAGACAGCTCTGTCCATAGAAATATAATGTGAGGTTCATACATAATTTAAAATTTTTGAGTAGTCCCATTTAAAAACTAGACAGAAACAAGTGAATTAATTTATAATGAATTGTAACCCAGTACATTTAAAATATTGTTTGAATATGTAATGAAAATAAAGTTTTTTAATGAAGTTTTTAAGGGATCTTTTCTTACAAGTCTTTAAAATTTATTATTTTACACTTATAGCACATTTTAATTCAGGCTAGTCACATTTCGAGTGCTCATAGCCACAAGTGGCAAAGGATATAGTATTGAACAATACAAAAAGTTCTTTTGAAGTGACCTTATAGTTACCATTATTATTGGTACCAAAGTGTTGCACCTTTTTATAAATATTTACTAAAAGGAGCAAGTCAACATTCACTGTAAATTTTTTTCTTAATGAAATAGATGGGACTTTTTTTTCTAAAACAAATTCAGATTTCCCTGGATGGATACTACTTATTGCTAGATAAGGCAGGCTTCAGCATCAACTCTGGTTTTTGTGTGATGGCTTTATTCTTTTAGATACTGATGCTGCTGACAGAGTAAAAAAATGGAAGTGGTGGGAATTATGTTAGAATTGTTTTACTGGTTCTTTAAACTTCTGATTTATAGCCCCAAATCACATACAGATCTCTGATCAAGCATTATTTTAATTATCTATTAGGAGAGCATTCTTCAAGTCTGTTTTTGATTTTGTTGAAAGTAAAGAATTTGGAACCATCTCAGTTACAAAAGGCAGTGTTGCCTCTTTGCTAGACTCATTCACTTTCTCAGCCAAGACACCAGTGTGTTAAACTGCTCTTGTTTGTTTGATGTTCTGGAGGTTTCTACACCCAGATACTTTTGGCCATAATAAGATCCTGGATGGGTGGAAAGTTTACTTTTCATTTGTAAAGTTGGTGAAGGGTCCAGTGAAAGGAGATGTCCCACTGAGGGGTTCTCCTTCTTTAGAAAGTTGATGATCTGAAAATTGATTTTTTGAAACTATCCAAGCCTGCCTATTCCTTAGAAATTTGTTATGTATCCCCAAGTCATGCTAATCTCAGTTTGAAGACTGCTAATTTATATCTTTCTCTGAGAGCATTCCCTGTTGAAATAGATTAGAAAATGTTTTATAAGAAATGTGAGTTGTGTTGTACTAGCCATTGGCACAAATATATCCGTTTACTGTATATTCAGGAGAAAATATGCTATGTGGATTAGAATTCTGGTTAAAACTCTGCTGTTGAAGCTTGCTGTATTTTATTGTAAGGAATCACAAAAAAAGATTATTTTATAAGGTTGCCTTATTATTATCTAATTTGAGTTGCGGTTTTATGGAATTGTATGTTATAAAGAATATTTGTTTTTACTTCTACTCTGTGTTCTTTGGCAGTGTTCTTATAAGTTACAACCCTTATCATCATTAATTCTGGGTATAACATTTTTAGTATTATAAAAGATGGAAGAGAAATGTCAAATTCAGTTACCATTTTGAAGAGAGGGGATTTTAATCCTAAATTATCCTCATTAGTAGGCTATAAATATTTTACACGTTTATGGTTGCAAAGTTGATTTGATTAGGAACCAAAGGCAAACTGATATATTTTAGGAGTTTGAAGTGGAGAAGAATCTTCCTGTTCTTATATCAAGGGCAATGAGCTACAGGCAGTGTTCCAAGTAAAGTAGCTTTTCATCTAAGTAGGACTAATGATAATGATTTACTAAGAAGTACAGATGTCTTCATGCTGATGCTTTAAAGCCCAAATTAGGTTAGCTACAGTGCTTGAATTTGGAATGCAGAAGCAATGCTAATCAAAGCTTTTATAAGCAAAAAAAAAAAAAAAAAAAAAAGATGACTGCACTAAGTGTGCATTTATACACCAAATTTTGTTAGATCAGTATCGGCATTTATTTGGGGCCAAGAGGCCCATAGCTTTGAATGATTAAAAATCTTGTGTTTTAGGATGATTTTTAAAATTAGTCTATTTTTTCTGTTGGTCCAGCCTCTCTCACCTTTTAGCATAGTGATGGACTGACCATGTTTTCTGTCAACACAGCCTTTGGAATGTCCTGGTCTTGGAAGAAAAAGAGCAAATAATTCTGGTTCTAAATAAGAAAACATTATTTTTTTTTTTTTAATTTGTCAAAAATTTTTTTTATTTTTATTACAAAGATGTGAGGTACAATGAAGGGTTAGGTATACAAACGTTGATTATGCAGGTACACTGGTTGATGAGGTATACCCATCACTCCCCTAGGAGTTTCCCTCAACTGCCAATCCTACCACCCCTCCCCTGACAGTTTCTCACTACAGCCAATCGCTTTCGTATAGTATTATAATTGTTCAAGGTCCGCTTATGAGTGAGAACATGGTTTTCTGTTCTTTGTTTCTACGATAGAACATTTAGTATAATAGACTCTAAATCCATCCAAGTTGCTGCAAAATCCATGTTTGTCTTTCTTTATGGCTGTATAATATTCCATTGTGTATATGTACCACATTTTCTTTTATCCAGTCCAGCTTTGATGGACAACACAGTTGGTTCCAAGTTTTTGCTAATGTGAATAGAGCTGCAACAAACATACGTGTGCAGGTATCTTTTTTGAAAAATGATTTGCATTCTTCTGGGTATATTCCCAGTAGGTGAATTGCTGGGTCATATGAAAGGTCAATTTCGACTTATTTCAGATACTTCCACACTGTCTTCCAGAGAGGTTGCACTAGTTTGTAATCTCACCAGCAGTGCAGAAGGGTTCCTTTTACTCCACATCCTCAGTAGCATCTGTTGTTGTTTTATTAATGATGGCCTATCTTAATGGGGTAAGGTGGTATCTCAGTGTGGTTTTGATTTGCATTTCTCTGATGATGAGTGAGGGTGACACTTCCAGACTTCAGACTTTACTATCAGGCAACCATTATCAAAACAGCCTGGTATTGGTACAAGAACAGGCACATAGACCAATGGAACAGGATAGAGATTCCGGAAGCAAACCCTCAATTTCTCAACCATCTCTTCTTTGACAAAACCTCCAACAGCAACCACTGGGTAGAAGAGAACCTGTTCAGTAAATGGTGCTGGGAAAACTGACTGACCACATGCAGAAGATTGAAACGGGACCCCTACCTATCACTATACACAAAAATTAACTCTAAATGGATCAAAGACCTAAACGTAAAACTTCAAACTAGAAGAATCTTTAAAAATTCAGGAGACCCTTGTAGAAACTGGAACTGGCAACCAATTCCTATTCAGAACCCTGATTAACCATACTTTGAGAAATATGATAGCCAAGTGGGACCTCATCAAACTAACAAGCTTCTGCAAAGCAAAAGAAACTGTCAATAGAGCAGGTAGACAGACCACAGAATGGGAAAAAATATTTACTAACTGTACATCTGACAATGGCCTAACATCTAGGATCTACAAGGAACTCAAATGCACTGAAAGAAAAAAACCAATAGGCTCACTCAAAAGTGGGCAAAAGACATGAATAGACACTTCTGAAAAGAAGATATAAGGACAGGCAACAGACACAAGAAAACATTATTAATTAACTAATGATGACCCAGTGGGAAGCTTGGCCAGGACTATGTCCCTCCAGGTATAAAAATCTCTTTGCTGTCAGTAATGACTTTGACATCTGGTTAGCTTTGGTAGTGGAGACTAGAAAGACTCCTTTCTCTTGAATTGCCCTTGCCCCCTTCCTGCTCCTTCATGTCTCCAGGCCTTTTTACATATTCTACAGGCACCACTATGGCTAACCCCTTTCCATCTTCAGGGTTTACCTCAGGAATCAACTCTCCTGGAAAGCCTTTTCTGAGCTGCATTAGGTGTATCTTCTTTGTGGCAATAATAAAAATAACCATTCTGGAACACTTTGTATGTTCCTAGGACTGTGTTAATCACATTGCATAAATCTGTGCATTTCAAATTTTTTTTTTTTTAGTATTCTCTGCATCCAACGTCTTCTGTATATGTCCATGTATAAACCTTGCTGGGGTCCTAGGGCTCGGAGGAACACTGTCATTGGTAACCATTCATTTAACTCTGCAACCCTGCAAGTTGGGTATTTTTATTTCTGTTTTAAAGATGAAACTGAGACAAAGAGAAGTTAACTAAATTGCCTAAGGGAAGTGGCACAGCTGGGATCTGAACTCAGATTTCCCCTGTTCTGGCTGTTCTGCTGACTGTATTCCACGGTCTCCCAGTGATACTCAACTGCTGACTTGTCTAGTGTTCTGGACACATCCTCTGTCTTCTTCAGCACAGGGACAGCCTCTTATTCATCTTTATGACTGTAGCAACTAGCATTCTGCCTAATCCATAACAAGTGCTTAATAAACCAGAGCCTTAAAGTGGTTGTATTCTCAAATGTATTTTATTCTAATATCAACCAAATTTTAACAAATTTATTGTCACCATTTTGTTCTTTTATGAATTTGTAGCATTGTTTTCCGATTAGATCAAAGAACCTTACCATTAGTCTTCACAGCACTTTTAGTATATAAGACACTATCATTATTCTAATTTTGACACTGAGAGGTGTTAGGTCACACTCCTCAACGAGCCTTCATAATTTTAGGTCA